TGAGAATTATACATCATCATAAATGATAAAAACATAATTAATATATTAAATTTATATTAATATATCAATTTATATATTTTATTTAAAAAATAATTAATTTTAAATATATTCATTTAAAATAAAAAAATTTGTCCACCCCTCTAAAATCTTTCTTCCCAAGCAGCCCTTAATTAAGGTAAAAGTTAATTTTTAGGAGGATTTATGTTGTTATCTTGAGACAGGTCTCAATCTTTAAGGACTTCGATACTCATTATCATGATGTGGACTTTGGCCTTTAGGGTTTCAATACCGATTGTCCCGAGATAAAACTCGATCTTTAAATTTAAAGGTTAGCCTCAGTCCTTAAGGTCTTTGTACCCATTAATTATCTCGAAGCAAGTCTAAGTCTCTATGGACTTTGTGCTTACTATCCCAAGGTAAAGTTCCATTTTAAGGCAAAGGAACTCATTACCTAAAGTTGAACTTGGGTTTTAGAGTCTTTGACTTGTTACTTCGGGTTGACTCAAATTGGAAAGACATTTGAGTATTGAACCACATTTGCAGTCTGCTATTGCATTAAAAAATTCAAAATATGAATGACGGATACAATAGTAAAAAAATATCACCATGACGTCATAACCTATTGTTAGTATTACTAATCAGTGTTCTTTAGTTATGAGTTGGTAGAAAAGTGTGACATATAAGCGGATTTTTAGTGGGATTTCTTAGCAGTTGTTTGTTCTACATTTTGAACATATGATAAGAGTAAGAGAAACAACTTTAAGATGTAATTGCTTAGTAGAATTGAAAATATAATAATAATTCTAGTTCCATATAACAAACAGACCTTATTGATTTTCTTCCTTAGATTAAACTTTTTAAATAGCATTTTGTTTTAACAATACTTTCATCTATATGTTTTGGTGTCGCACATTTATGTGTGTTTTAAGTTGTGTTTCGTGTCCTAATAGAATACATATGATTATGGCTTGGCTTTATTGTCTTTGTGAAACGCTAAAAACATATCTAAGGAGTGGGACCATGGAAATCAACGGTGTAATGACTAGTCAACAATAAAAACTATCTAATAAAAACATCTAACCAGAAAAATTAAAGAAAATAATCTAAAAACAAAAAAGAGGGGAAAAAAACTATTAATGCTTTAACTGTTTGAGAAGCCTCTGGTATCTCATCAGAATCTCAAGCTTCCATCTTTGCTAACTTTCATTTTATTACAAGCTTTCACGTAAAAAGGTTGTGCAAAAAAATAATTTTTTAATTATCATAATTAATAATACTTCTATACATTTCTTTAAAAATAATTTATTTTTATTTATAAATAAATATATTTTCTCACCAAAATTATATTTTTACATTATATATTCACTAAATTTATTCTATACCTTTTTTGGTTAATTTTTAAAATTTCAAATATTTATACTTTAAAATATTTTTAATTTAATTTATGTGGTACAACGTACGTACGAGGATTACATTAGTTGAATACATATGATTAATTATAGCTGTGCTGCGTTATCTTCGTAAAAGGCTGAGAACATATCCGAGGAGTGGGACCACGGAAATCAACGGTGTAATGACTGGTGAACAACAAAAAAACTAATTAATAAAAACATCTTACCAGAAAAATTAAGGAAAATAATCGAAAAACAGAAAAATAAGGGAAAAACAGTGTTAACGCTATAGCTGTTTGAAAAAGTGTTTAGTATCTCATCGGATTCTCAAACCTTCATCTTTGCTAACTAACTACCCAATCCGAATCTTGGCGTGTTGGTCCACTGATCAGGCCTAACGACCCACTAAGCATGCTGCGCGAGTCCACTAAAGCAAGCCTTTTTTTTATTATTATTATTATCATTTCTATCTGATAATAATAAAATAAGAATAAAAGGCATTGAATATTTAATAATTAATTAGGAAAAAAGTGTAGAAAAGAGAGAAAGAATAAGCACGTAACACTGGAGATACCGAATATGTTGTGTGGTCTCACTCGAGTTAAAATTAGAGACAATTTTGTTGCGATTCAACGTGTGTTTTTTAAATTTCTTGCATTGTTATTAAAACTGGATCGAATCGTTAGGTTTGACCGATTGAAACAAAAATTAATTAGTTAACTAATTCAGTCAATCTATAAAGTTAATGGAACAGAAAATTGGTCAAGAATCAGTCAAATCGGTCAAAATTGAGAAAAGAAAAAAAAATTAAACTGATCAGTGTATATATTTTTAAATAAATAAAAATTTACACATAATATTTATCGTATAAAATATATAATATAATTATTTTATGTTATTTAAAATTTTTAATTAACTTATTTTTTTTATCTTTCATCTAGAGTAATTTACTGTGAATCTATCATTAGATATTTTTTTATACATAAAAAATTAAATTTAAAATTTTATTTAAATAATATCAACCACTTGTTATTTGAAGAAACTTTCGTTAGTTTAATTTACTAAATTTTGTATAACTTGGTATATATTAGTTTATTATTTACTAAATTATATAATCTAAAAAATATATTTTATTACGACTTCAATTTAACTACTGGTTAAGTCAATAAACTATCAATACTGCTAGTTCAATGGTCAGTTGTGTTTGAAAAACAATGGTTAATAGCTAAAAAATTATATACTTCTTGTATCACGAAAGAGGGTTCAGATTATGAAGGTCAAATTAGAAACTTAATATAGATCTTCTTAGCATGTCTCTTCTACCTTGGTGAATTGAAAATCAATTTGGAGTTCACTGTTAGATCAAATTACGAGTCCAAGAAAGCACAATAAAAAGCATGGGAATATTCGATGAAATATAAAGATAATGAACATTGAATAATGGAAAGAAAGAGAAATGAGAGAAAATAAAAGAAGGGAAGAAAAAGGGATCCGTAACGAATCTTCGTGGAGTTAAGAAACGACATGGATGGAGGGATTTCGTTTTCAGCGTACGGCACTCTGTTTTGCACACTCTGATAGTATATAGTAATTGGAATGGAACTGAGCTGGCGGATGAGTAAGGACAGTTTGAAGTGGAGTTGAGCTAGAAGAACAAAGCCATGTGACTCTTTGATCAATTTTATGGCATGGGTCCCTCGCTCTAATGCCACCATTACTCCACTATGAGTTGGACATGTACGGCTTTCTACTATATGTTCATCCTATAAATACACCAGAAACTCTTCAATTTCAAAACCCGTCTTCACTCTACCACAATTCATCATTTTCTTCCCATATATTCAAACTTACTTAGTTTTCTGATCTTCAGTTCGTATGATGGGTATTCGTCTACCCTACATGGTTCATGCAAAACACATATTCAAGTCCACGTCACAGCATGTTCCAAAGGGCCACGTGGCAGTCTATGTTGGAGAGTTACAAAGGAAGCGTTTTGTGGTTCCGATATCATACTTGAACCACCCTTTGTTTCTTGATTTGTTAAACCGCGCAGAAGAAGAGTTTGGCTTCAATCATCCCATGGGTGGTCTCACAATTCCTTGCAAAGAAGATGCCTTCATCAATCTTACCACTCAACTACGTGCCTTGTGAAAGATATATTTGACTACTAGAAGCATTGACTGCATTTTTACCCTCCTACCTATTTGGGTTGTTCCTTCTAACTCTCAAGTCTTTTTGACAAATACAAAATGTTGTATTATTTCGTTGTATAATATTTTCTTCAAATTTATTTACTGTTTGCAGATGCCAAATCGCCATGGCAATTGTAACTTCTTCTCTCCTGTCCCTCTGTAAACCTTAGTACCATACAATTTATTTATGTTTGAAAAATTTGTTATTGATAAGTTCCACGCTTCCACCTCGATAGTTCAATTGCTGGCAGCATCCTGTAGTTAGTTTCGAGTACAAATACATCAAACTATTTATCAATTATTTGAATCAACTTTTTAAATATTTGATTAAGCTTATTTATTTTAATAAATAAGAACTCCATTATATAACTATATGAGCTAAACTTAAATATGCGTCTCTATATAATAACAATAATATTAAAATGTTAATTTATTAAAAATAATTATACTGAATAAATTATCATCATTATATATCTTCATGTTTAAATATTTAGTTGTTTTTCTCCTTAATTATTTTTATTTCATTCTCTGATATGAAAATATTAAATACTTAATTAGTAAAGGAATTTTGCGTTCATGAACACAAAAAATTCGTTAATAAACTTAAAAATACAGTTTAAGAATTTATGAAAGAAATAAAACTTAATTGTTAATATAAATGAACTAAACTAAATCAAACTTAAAACTTTATAGTTTTTTTATACCAAAAGCATTAGTAATATACTTTTTTAAATACACTTTTCAGCACATTTGTTGTAATTAATTCTTTTATAAAGAATAATATTTTAAAATTGATCATTTAACAAGATAAGTCCTATCGGGTGTTAAAAACTGTAACAAAAAAAGTGTATTTCTTACAATTTTTTAAATTTAGTTTGAACGCAAAAGAAAATTTCAAGAACTTCATTTATTCAACTCAGCTCAACTTTTTTATAATTGGCTCTTTTTAACTCCTCCGCACAAAATACTCTTCTCCTAACGGCCAGGTTCGTCTCTAACTGTTCCGTGTGCAGCAGGTAAAAGGCTTTCATTGTTTGCTTTTTTATTTTTTTTCTTCGTTTTCTCTACTGTTGAAAAGACTGGAATATGTGATATTTATAAACCAGTAACAATAGTTCAAACATCTGAGGGACCAAATCATTCTCAATATGTGATAGAACATAATGGAAGAAGTTTATAAATATCAAAATCATCTGATTTTTTTTCAGTTTGTCTATTTTTTAGTTTACACCTGGAGAGTTCTGACCAAAAAAATACATGTAGCAGTAACACATACATGAAATATCTGCATCTCTATCATCATACGTCTACATAATCCGCGTTGCAAAGGCCACGACACAGCTGCAGGTAAGGACGAGATCTGTGCGATTTATATTCTCTCACGGGTATGACCTAGTTCATCAAAACGAACGAGCTGAAATGTCCGAAACTTTTCCTGCTCTTAGCATTCCATGGCCTCAGCACTCAAGAACGCATTGTCTGCTTTCTTGGCTCTAAATCACTCTTCTATTATATCAATAGGATGAGGAAGCTTTCAACTTCTATTGAAAAAACATTAAGATGGTTATTGAAGAGGGGGCAGGAAAGTTTGTATTGAGCAAAAAGCAGATGCTTGTCTTCCGCTGGTACACTTTAGTCCAAAGAGAGATTGCCAGTTCGAATGTTTCGTTGCTGATGACTAATACTTTTGCCCAGCCGTGATAGGGATGAGCTCCAGTCACCTGGTTTTCCGCTGAATGGAGATGCAAGTTTTGGCCGAAACCATTTTTTCAGAGCTAGACCATTAATTCTAAGCTTCCCATTTGATTCATTACCCTGGTAAGGAATCTGAAGCCTCCTCAATAACGCTGCAATTGCTTGGCCAACTCTGAAGGAAAAATATTGCGTATTTGTCATACAATTCTTGAACAATATTATCAAGAAATTTTATACAAATTTTCTACTAAAATATGAACAAGTTCACACAATAACACCTTCCAATTTTTCAGTCACATGCACCTCCTTAAAATATAATGCAAACTGCAGAAATAATATACAAGAACTACACCTTAACAGAGGACTCAACCACCTGCTTAAAACTAAAGAAAAAATTTTAGAACAAACTTGAAAGTTGACTTGCAGAAATGTAAGGCAACAATATGGTTGAAAAAATGTTGACAATGGATGCATAACTAATCTCACCTTCCTGCAAAGTTAATAACAATCTTTTTCCCCTTAGGAGACATAATTTCTGTTTTCTCCACGGGAAATAAAACGATTATATTGGGTAACCTTGCACCTGCAAAGAAGATTTTCATGGGGATTCACAACCAAAGTCAGCTGTATAATTGTTGGAAATCGTATTAGCATTTACGAAATACTACTACATTCATGTATCACTTGATAAAACGCATTTAGTTTTTTTAGGGTCAAAGATAAAATGCATTTAGTAATCACGGGTATTGTTTGCCTAGGAAGATTTTGGTCAAAGATTTATTAGTAATCATGTGTCTAGAAGTTGCACTCAATTTTAGCCCAGGAAATAGTCTTGCATAGGATGATATGAAGAACTTATGTACGACATTTCTCTTGAATAAAAAAACTTTCATTCTCTCTCTCTCAAAAAGATTCTATTCTCTCTAAATCTCTCCCCCCGCCCCCCCTAAATTCAACAATATTTCCCACTGCATTCCTCCTGTGGATCAGTAAACTTGTAAACACACATTTGGCAACTATAAATTATTGTTATTTAAATAAAGATTGTTAAAAATGGAAAAAGAAAATCTAATAATAGTAAGTTAAAAGAAAAAGTGCAGGTTGAAAACTGAATCATCAGCAATTGAAAAATGCAAACCGTATCATCAAGTGAGTGATCATGCAAATGTCTAAAAAAGGCTTTGTTCACAATATTTGTTGCAGAGTAGCAGAAAACAAGTAGTTATATTGTTTGCAAAATCATTAAATAGGAGGAAAGAAAAAACAGTTCTGAGAAAAGGAGGGGGAGGGGGTGGTGAAACTACCAATCTCGTGTGATAAATAATCATGTTGTGCTAAAGCGGATAATGATACTCAAGTAAATAAAATAAAGCATATTTCTTAATCATCTGTTGTCACTGTTCCTTTCCGTACAACCATTGGAAAGGATTCAGAAAAAGACAATACCAACCTACTCTTTAAATTAATTCATTTCCTTATCCAAATATCAGAACCAATAGTTGAAAGAGAGGAAAATGTTTCATATAAATAAACTGAATTTAAAGTTAAAATAGATCTCACGCAAGTATTATAAATTAAGATAGGAGGAGAAGATCTTTCTATGAAGAAAAACTTCAAGAAGTAAATTGCGGCACTGATATTAATATAGAAGATGATATTACCTGCTGCTAGTCGATGCTTGAGACCTTTTAAAACAGTTAAGAGGTATGCCTGTTAAAATTTGCATGGATTAAGGGAAATGAATTTAACAATTACAATAAGGAATGACTATCTTCTGTATGTGTTTGCATGTCAAATTTGCAAATGCTCAGCAGTATACAAAGTATGAAAGAGACCTAAAAAGTGGAAAATCAAGAAAACAAGAGGATATTGGATCCATTACTCAAGCATTGCAGCAAATTTGCACATTAGTGGCATAGTAAATAACACGTATGCACCAAAATATCAAATGCAGTTATACAATAAAAAAGTTAAGAACAAAGAGCACTGCACAAAGAGAAAGAAAAGATAAGGTAGAAAATCTCTCAAAAAATGAGTAAAAAAAAAATACTTTTGATGTAGGTAAAACTATTTCCATTTATTTATCTTCTATGCTAATTATATGTACAATGACTCTAGAGCCCATTTATTTATCTTGATGTGAGTAAAAATGTTTGTATAAGTAGAATATAGTACGCATATGCAGGTTACATGACTATGGACTCCTAGGGTATATTACTTGTACCTGACCTGATTACTATAAGTAGAGAATCAACGATTCTAATTCCCAAATCCAATTTGAGTTAATGAATCCCACAAATACAGTTCCCTCTTTCTCCAGCCTCTCATAGCTAAATTGCAGACCTTTTATGCAACATAAATTGTAGGAGTGTTTAAAGACTTAGACAAGCTCACCTCAGCAGTAGAAGCATGCAATTCTTTAGAATCAATAACAATAGGACAAACTTTAAATGATACGGATGGAACAACTCCATGTGAAGCAGCTTCCTACATAATTATTGCAGCATTATATGATGATCCAGGTTCCCTCAGAAACACAGACGCAAGACATTGAATAGAATTAGTTTCAGCTACATACTGACCTCAAGTATTGAAAAAGCACGAGGATCATATTCACCAAATCCATCCACTAATGAACAGAGGTTTGAACTTCTTGAAGTTTCTGCACATACCCCTAGATTCTCAACAAGACTATTTTTCACAGATGTATCATACGGGAGTTTCAGACATCCCAGAATTTGAGACAATATTTCACTTGTAGGCTTTTCACCAGCTTCAATTGTTTCACGGTACACCATTAAGGCCAGTGATGTCCTAAGAGTAAAAGCAGCATTAAAAACTTCAACTAAGAAAATAATCTAAACACACAAGGAAAGGAGTCATTTACAGACTTTCCTCATGTTGTTAATGTTTTTCTTCTTCAGATAGAATCAATTGAGTATAAATGAAAAAATAAAATAAAATGCATCTTTTCAAACAAAGAAATAAAAACAGCATTCTGACATGCATAAATTGAAAAATAAAAAAGTAAAAGAATATCTATATATATAAATAAGTAGTTAGTATTGACCTTTCTTTTATCAGTGATAATAAAGAATCATGTCTTAAAAAAAAGTTGCAAAAATTAAAAAGCAAATACCATTTGTTATTCACTTGCGGTCGTCCTGGGTCAAAAGATAAAACAGGCTCACCAACAAAGAAAGCCCTCTCAAATCTCCGGAGGCACAATCCTTTCAAAGAAATCAAAGTACTGTTAGGATTTACAAATGGAACTCTCAATGAAAAATATATAGATTTGGTCCATGAGATAGCAAAATCCATGTTCTTTTGCTTAAAGTTTCCAGCAAGTGAAATAGTCCCATAAATAAAACTCAATTCATATCATATGAGAGTAATGCATTTTTTGGGTAATTAAGGGAGAGGAATCAGATTTCTGAAAATTTGGTTTTTAATTAACCAAGTTCAGTAACACGTGTGGTCCATGTAGCCAACCTAACTTAGTGGGATAAGGCTTAGTTGTTATTGTTGTAAGGGAGAGGAATAGGAGTTCATTGTGATTTCTACATTTTTTTATAAGAAATGGTGTTTTAGGAAAATTTCCTATGCCATTACCACCCAATCAAAATATGAGAAAAACACAAAATGGAGAAAGAATATGTAAGAACCAATTAAGTCCATATACTCCAACAATAAAAAAGTATCATTATTGTAACTATATCCAACACTGATACAAGTACAATCTCCAAGGAGTATCTTCCTTTTCTTTTTTTAATTTTTTTTATTTCATTAACTAATACATTTAGGTACAGTTCCAGTACTTTGAATAGGATTTTATTAACTGATGCCTGTATCTGACTGTACAATCTTCCTTTATATCCTTTATCTCCGAACAATTATATAGAGTCACAACTACTTTTCAACAAGACTAACGATGATTGCTATGACATTCCAATATAGTTTAGGAGAAAATATGTAATTTTGTGACACGTTCAACGGGGAAGAAGGTAACTATGGTTTAGGGTTTTTGTAAAATATGCTTTTGCTTTTAATTCATGTGTTAACATATCTAAGCTAATATCATATCTTTGATTTTTAAGAATTTTGCATATCCCTGAATCCATATCATATTGTAGCCAAGTTTTCCGAAGTATTTGGGCTTCATAGGTAAGAACATGAAAGACAAATGCAAAAGTGAAAAATATAACATCAATTTTTTATATATTTGCAAACATCACTTAACGAGACAATAGGTTTTTAATAATAAAGCTCCTAATGAGGGGAGGCAAAAGTATAAATAGAAGCAATGCTAGGAACCAGGTGTTTTTCAAAGCAGTATCTAAGAAAAGACTTGATTAAACTGAAGCAATATAGGACCAGAATTGAAGCTAACAAAAAACCCAATTAGACTCACCAATTATACATCGACACATGATGAGATTTGTGGCTACACCATCTTTTTTGGCTTGAGAAAGGAGCATTTGAGCCGCCTCCATATCATCCTTCCTATAAAGGCAAGCAAAATAGGAAATTGATCAAAAAAAGAACCTAAACTAAACAATTAATTTGACAGCAAAATCCTCTTACACCACTTACTTCTCACTTGCCACTATTAGTATTGAGAATGTGATACTGTTTGGGCACAATCCTAATCCTTTCATTTCAAATAAAATCTCCAAAGCCTTATGAAATTGATCTCCATCACCTGTACATAACTCTTACAATATTTTACACTCTACCTTTCCCCATTAATCAGCAAAACTTAAACAATGAAACTGGATCAAGGGGGGGAGTGGACAATTGCAACAGCTATAAAATTGAAACAAAGTTGAAAGTAGCTATATTCCAAGCAAAACTTAAAGTAGAGGTTTGTCACCCAATTCTTTAACAAGAAATGCTTTAGGAAAACAAGCATTAACTGATTTCAAATCATTTTGGCTTTAATCTTAATTTATGCTTGTCCTAATTCAGTTACAAGTTTGTCAAGAGTTGGTTTCTGTAGTTAGAAGTTTAGTTACCAGTATAAAAAAGTGCTCGGTAACTGTAAAACGGGTTGAGGCAAATTAGTAATTTCACAATTAAATTCTTTCTGTTTCTCTCACACACCTGTTTTTACACCTCTCCATATGCCTTGGTTAAGATAACATTCCTAGGGGTATTTTAGTTTGCAATCAGTTTTAAATTTGGATATTTATTTGTGTATGTGTGCAAGCTTTAATTTTACTGGTTTTATTAACACTTGGCTGTGGGCTATTCCACTGTGTAATTTGTGGCTCGTTTCCTTGCCTTCTTTTCTCAACTCTTGGTCCCCTCAATTTGACTAGCCCTAAGTTCAGCAATAACTAACCAGCTATTGTGCAATAATAAATGAAGAGTAGATTTTCAAAGCAACGTTGGCTTTAGCAGCATAATCATGTGATGTGTCTATCTTTGGTTTCGCTCATCTCTCTATCTTCAGATATGCTTACTAATCCTATTACTCAAAGTACCCCACTTTCACAAACCCTTCCATCTTCCTTCAAATTTGCAGTTATTTTTCATTGGAACTACTTTTCCAAGCTGTTGAATAGCTTCCTAATCAACCAATTTAGTGCTGATGCATAAAGAACCAGGATAAATGTAATAATAAACAAAAGAAAGAGAAAGTCATACTTACAAAGTGCAGTGAGCAAAGCATTAATTGTTGAAACAGTTATCGTCAATTTAAGAGATTTCAGATATTCATATAGCTCCAGTGCTTTCGGCCAATTTCTTGCCTGGAAGAAGAATTTGCCACTAGTTAGTACTAGTAGCACATTTTTCTGCATGGCGAATTCAATGCAGGCAGCAAAAGATTGGAATAAACATATCTAACATGGAAAGATAAGAGTTTAGGCAGTTGTCTTAGGTCATACTTGTGCTTCTTATGCTATATTAATTTATGTAAGTATTTATCTTAGGGTTCTCAGATTTAAGAAAAATAGATTCACTATTTTTAGCTTCTAGATTCAGGGTCATCAACTAGAGCAACAAAACCCTTATATACTACACTGAAAACATAACATCCTATATCCTTACATATTTCTTGTTTAAAATTGACAGCTAGAATACCAGAAAAACCTGATAGTTATTAGTGAAACCAATGCCTAGAACACATCCCCATTCCCCAAGTGGAAGCCCAATAACAGTAATTAACTGAAAGAAATTCTCCTAAATTAATACTTTACTTACAACATAAAGTATCTTTTTTATCATCCATTTTTAAATACATTATTAAAATCCACTCTATCATTCCATAAGTAGACCTTCAATCCATTTCAGTTCCTTTACCTTTTATGCATCCCCAGATTTAACTATAAAAAAATACATGACTGGAAAATTGCTATGGGTAAGAACAGACACATTAATGATGTTTTCCTTTTTCAACGATGCCCAATTTGTTTTCCTTTTTTTCTTCCCTTTAAACCATATTACTTAATCAGACATACATTGCTACAGGCACCCATCAATGAGCTATATGACATTATTCCAATACACATTCCTCCTTCACGGGCTTCTTGTAGGACATCAAAGGCAGCATCCAGCTTTTTAGCATGTCCAGCAACATCTATTAGTGCACTCAGAAATATCTGCATTATAAGTCAATAACTTTTGTAAGCAAATAATGGTAGTGGTACTATCATTTTTTAAAATAAAAGAAACCACCATACAAATAAAAGTGGTACTATCATGTTTTCAAATCCACTAAAACCACAGATTTTAACAATCTATATCATCAAGAAAATTCTATAAAAACCTCATCCGGGAGAATCCCTTTCTGGGTCATGTCATTGTATACACTGCAAGCAAATTCCCAATCTCCAGTTTGACTGCAAGAATTAATGGCAATAGTGTAAACTTCTGGAGACCCCTTTATGCTATATTTTTGTATCATCTTGTACACTTCTCGTGCTCGTTCAACCTGCAAAAAACATAACATTGTTTAACATTAAATAGATTTCTAGTAAAGTACAATATAAAGAGTGAAATCAGGGAAGAAACCACACCTGGCCAGCATTTGCACATGCCTTTAACAATGCACCAATAGTCACATGATCTGGGTTGATGGGATGTGTTTCAGCAGCCATTTCTGCTAACACATCAAAAGCACGATCCACTGCTCCTGATTGAGCACATGCAGCTATAAGTGCATTGAATACAACACGATCTGGCTTCACATTCTACTGCATACAAACATCCCATCAGCGCGCACAATTAAAAATCATGAGAGGAATTCAACTCATATCACTACCAATATAATTCATTAACAATTGTACCTTTGACCTCATTATCCCATAAGCACCAAATGCTTTAGCTACTTGCCCGGCTCTAGCACAACCATCTATAAGTGCCCCATAGGTATGAACGTTAGGCTCCACTCCAGAATTTACCATTGTGTGAAACACCTAGGTGCATAGATTAACAGTTTAAATGGATACAGAATTTACAGAAAAATATATTACACATAAAAATGTCATGCTATGGTGAATCAATTGAAGATAGATACTGTACTTCAAACATTAGGTCAACTTTCCCACTCTTTGCACAAGTTGATATCAGAGTGGTATAAAGTTTGCAATCAGGTTCTAGTCGAGCATCCTTAAGAAGCTGCAAAACTTGGAAAGCTCCTGAATACACAAGACAAATGTCATGAACTGAAAAGATGAAAAGAAAGAACATTTTAGTGGGTAATCAGGATATTTACTTTCTGAATCTTGGGATCTTGCACAAACCGACATAAGCATATTAAATGTACTCAGCGTTGGATTTGAAATAAGCCTAATGTAATCAAAAGCTTCTTTGACAGCCTTTCGTTTCTTGCAGATGTTAAAAAACTTGACATGATAAACCTATAAGCAGTAAATATGGCATGTAAGAGAAACACATAATTGAAGAACTGAATATAAAGTAACAGCCAAAAAGATGCACGTACCTTATTCATATCTAATAAACCCTTCATTTCCATATCTTTAAGCAATTCCACACATTCATGTAACCTAACAAAATCAATGTACTGCATGATAAGCTCTTCAAGCTTGAAGTAATAGTAAAAGTAGGTCAGATGCACATCATGATCATGATATAGTTTACAAATGAGAAAGAGAGGAAAGGAGGAATTTGATCAGATTGTTTCATTCAAAGCAAATTTATGACAAGTTTAAAACTCTAACATGTCTCATAAACAATCTTATGTTCTATAGTGTCCTTTGGAGGTGGATGAGGAGAGCATATTACCTCCCAGCTTTTAGCAGATTATTATATTTGCTTAGATGCTCTGAAGGATCAATATTCTGACCATCATGCACCCTGATTTGATCATTTTTCTGATCAAAATGCACCTTGATTGAGTGGGCATTCTGAGAGAAAACTTTGTTAATATTATGATCCATATAGTTCCCTTCCCTGTCTCTAGAAGAGCTGCTGCCTTTCCTCAAGTGTTTATTCACATGTTGTGGGGGGTAGCCTTCTTTATGACTGGAGATTTTAACTGCTCCTTCAACATGTTCTGAATCAATATACATGGTTTACATAAATGTTTTCTTTAAATTTGGATTGCTCAACATGCTAGTATGTAAAAATTTGACCAACTATATCATCAATGAAATGATATGATTACCATTTTCTTTCATGTAATTACCTGTACTTTTAAGAGAAACATCTGTAGATAATCCTGATCCTTTTAGTGTAGCATTTCCTATTGCTGAGGGCAATCCTTTTTTATTCACAAAAGAAGCACGAGGAGATAAAGAATTTAAACTACTCAGTGGTGTCATGGATTTGGTTGCAGACTTGTTATCCTCATAAAACATGTACAGCGATTCCCTAACTGATTCACTGACAAAGACATTGCTGTTGATGGCACCAAGTTTAATGTTTTCTTCAGTATGCTCATCAATTGTTGCTAGGGCATTGTTTACACAAACAGAAGAAGCAGTATACTGAGGTTTGACCATATTCAAAGGCAACTCAGGATCAGAGCCAAGGTTATGTTGATTTTCTTCCACTTGTTTAACCATTTCCTCAGCAAAATCTAGTGGTTGTAATGTACTTGATGGTAAAGCCACAGATAAATGGGGGTCGCCCAATACCTTGGAACTGTTATTATTGACACTAGACTCAAGAACAGAAGAAGTTGATTCTGCTGTCTCAGTTGTGAGGGAAACTTCTTGTATCATTGAGGATTTCAAAAATGGAAGGTGCATCTCTTTGTCCTCAAAGGCGTGGTTATCTTCTCCATTGTGATCCTTTAACTTCCCAATTTCATTTATTGGGTTTTCCCTTTGAAATTCTGGAAAACCAAGAATCTGGCTGTCAATGACCTGGTTTCCAACATTACTTCCTTGCGGCGATAATGCAAATTTTGCATGTCCCTGTGTCTGCAGTAGTGAAAATGTAAGAAAGGTACTAATTATAGAAATAGAATAGATGCAATCAATTTACAAAACTAGGCCACTGAAGGAACAGTAGAGACGATAGGCAGCGAAGATTCCGCAGCAATCCCTACCTGTCTATAACATTAAATGCATCTAACCAGAAAAAGTCCATCATCAGAATCTGACAATGAAAATTTGACAATACTATTTCATAAAATTCAACTCAAAACAGCTAATTATTCGCCAAATCCAATTATTCAACGATATTATCTAAAGTTTGCAACTAATATCCAAACGTATATAGCAAGTCCATGGGAGAGTCTAAAAATGAACTAAAAAAAGTTCACCGCGAGGTACAATTTTCAGATTTGATTTCCGCATAGTGCAAAACTAAATTCGAACAATAGAACAGGCACGAAATCAGCGGCAATAAACAGAGAAAGAGAATATGAAAAGTTAAGTTAAGCAGCTGAAAGACCTGGTTAAGAGCCTTCTTTCTCCTGTTGAGAGTGAAGTGGAGCAAAGAAACAGCAGATAAAGTAACGACGATGACGACGACGATGACGGAGGGAGAATGGAGAGAGGCCTTGAAGACGAAGCGCGGAGAGTGGAAGCGAAGAAAGCCTAACTTGTTGCATTTGTTTCGAGTACGAAGGGATGGTGCAGATGCAGAGGGTGGTGGTGGAGGCCTGAGAGTGTGGACGGAACCGAGAAAGTGTGTGCGGAGAGTGAAGAAGGAAGTGGGAGAGCGTGAGGTTAGAGTGAGGGAGCGATGGTGGTTGAAAGAGAGGTTAACTTCCATTGATGAAGAGAGAGAGAAGAGAGAGAGAAGAAGGAGTGGATTAGCATTTAGTTTGCATTAGCAGGAAGGAGAGGAGGTAGTAGCTTGTTTTCGAGAACCAGAGATACGACTTCTTGCTCATCCGAATTCTTGCTGACGTGGCGCATTTTTGTTTTTCCGTTAGGACACAGTTCACCCTCTCTCATTCTGCCCCCTCCGTTAGTTAATTAAATATATTATTTTTCCTATTTATTTCCCATTTCATAAAGAGATAAATATTGGTTAAATATCAACAACTAAAAGTAGCCATTGATTAAACGGTAAAAAATTTTATTCATTTTTTTATAGTATGCGTTATGTATATAAGTTGAGAGAAAAATATAAAGAAATATTTTATTGTAATTTTTTTCTTCTTAACCCTTATATTTAATATATATAATAGAAAAATTCAATTATTTATTCATATTTTAAAAAAATTACAAGGAACGTCTATTATCATTCTCATATAGTTATTGTCATTCTAGTTTTTTAAAATTATGTAAAATACTTTTAAATAATATTTTAAATTAAAAAATTCTTAAAAAATAATAATAAATAGTAACTAAACTCATTTTTTAGTTTATAAAATAATAAGAGTTAAGTATTATAATTTTCAAATTTAAAAAATATTAATTTAGTCTTTAATTTTTATCTCTACTATTTAATGTGGTATATATTTTTATTTTATTTTAATCTTTTAAATTGTCACATTTTTTATATATTTTAGTCTTTAATTTTTAAAATTTATCTTCTATTTATCATTTTTTTATTATTTCTTAACATTACTATCACTTATTAATATTTGTATATTTTATTGGTAACTTTGCCACTATCATCTAATGTAACGTCCTTATTTTAAATTTAGTATATATAAATAATTTTTTCTTTTCAATTCAATTTCAATATGAAATTTGGATATCATAAAATTTTCTTGGAAGTAATTATTACAATTTAATCAAATATTTCCATTTAAATCAATAGAATAGTGTAATAGCATAAAACTTCTAAAATTACCATAATCAAAAGTAAAAAAAAAAAGCTATACATAAACTTCACAGTACAGTATATTAATTTACAAACTGTATGTTTGAGTATTTAAAGATCAAAATAATAATTACAACATCGAACACTACAAAAAGGATCCTAGAGCAGCCTCAGTTATACTCATCTCCAGCATTTCAACTTTCTATCTCGGCTAGGTCCTCAGAATCTAAGTCGTCATCAGATCCCAGATATTCATCGCAAGAGTCAGCTCTGACCTCTGTCCCCATGACGTACTCAAAGGTCCAACGGGTAGGTCTTCTTAGAGAGCTGTGGTCATGGTAGGTGTATAAGTAAGTAAGTGTTGCTAGGGTTCTAACTGTACCCCTATACATATATACACATAAGGTTTGGTGTATCCTACTCCTAGGAACATCGAATGGAACACTACAAGCAAAATCCATCTCTATCATGACATAAACCCTAGGATCATTCTCCACCAATACAAGAAATTTAAAATGATTTACACGCTGGTATTCATTAAATACATAATTTAATCTAAAGTCTACAAAACTATCTACCAGCCTAACTCTTCCCTGCGGATTCGTCAACCTGGTTCCCTGAAATTATCAGTAAGGATGAGCACATATCTTATCATTTAAAACATAATATTACTTTAAAGACTAACATAATAGCACAATCATGGTCATGGAATACAAGGAATCATAATAACATAAATCTTAAAGCAATATATTAGACATACACATATTCATAATTATTATGTTGCTCTCTTTCGGATAAGCACATTCAGTGTACTGTGATCATAATTATACGATGACTCCAGCAGTTCTTAAGGTCTTAGGTAAATGGTCGCAGGTTAGCCCATGTATACGGATACAATGTATACAATAACGGGCTTCTTAGCAAAGGTATAGTCAGGAGTCTAGTCAAGAAACAAGTGTGAGGCCATGTGGCGCATTTGCTCTCAGAAAGAATGTGTACACATGCGCGAATGTCGCTCACCACCCTACATTTCTACCACATTTCCTATCATCTCTGGACTCTATACCCCCAGTGTATCTCTGTAACTATTCACACTAGAACCATTCAGCTTCTTACACTTATCTCATACTCCCTTTCGTACTAAACTCATTATTTAGTAAGAGATCTTGCTTAGTAAAGCACTTCCGAACTAAATTCCAAACAAACAGACTACTCAAACATATCATTAACACCCAAAATCAGCCAACCAAATTTTTCATAATAATTCAATGTCAATCAATCATAAGAATCATACTAAAACACATACATAAAGTACTCTCATGGTTACAAAATAATTATTATGCTTAAAATAACAAAATAGAGCCCTCCTTACCTTGAGACAAAGTTTTGAAAGAGATTTTGTGAAGGGTTTTAGGTGAAAGGACCAAAATCTTCCTATATATCATAAAAGAGAACATTTTGAGAAAGGAGAAACTTAGAAAACACTCAAAAAAAGAAAACAAAGCTCCAAGAACTTACTTGGAGTTGATTGATGAAGTTTCCAAGCTTGGATTTGAAAGAAAGTTGAGGTTTTAGAGAGATTTTCTGATAAGAGAGGGTTAGGCGTCAAGGGAGAGCTCAAAACTTAGATTGTAATCCAAGTTTTCTAACTGGGAAACCCTTAAATACCCCTAGACTTGCGACATTCTCGCTACAGCGAGCCATTTCTCGCTACAACGATAAATTCTCGCTACAGCAAGCCCTTCTCTCGCTGCAGCGAAAAAACCAGACAAAATTGCACTTTGATGGCTGTCATTCTAGCTACAGCGAGAGCTCCTCGCTACAACGAGAAAATTCTAGCTACAGCGAGAGAGCATTAGAATGCCTGATTTCTAGACGCTCTTCTCGCCATAACGAGAGATATCTCGCTACAATGAGAGATATCTCACTACAGCGAGATATCCTACAACCTACATCATTTAAACTCTCTAAAATTCAAATAACTTCACAAATATAACCAACATTCAATGCTATAATAATAAATATAAAAACGAGGACGTTACATTAGACATAATATTTTTAAAATTTTAAGAATTAAAATATTTTATGCTTATTATATCATGAACCAAACTAAAAATTTATTCAATAAATATTTAAAAATAATAATATACATGCCCATAATAATACTATAAAAAAAGCTTCATCAATTTTTAAAAAAAAAAACTTTATCGTAACAAAGAAATTAACAAAATAAATTTTTATTTTTATCACAACGTATTTTCATACATGATTATAATTGTTTGCGGTTAATTTTAAGTTTAAATGAGAAACCTTAGTTAATTAACTAAATTAAATTATCACATTCACAAAAAAAATATATTAATCATATACTAGATGTATTACACCTATCAGATTGGTATTTTCAACTGCTTTCATATTCACTAAAATAATATTCTAGTACCTAACTTTGCCTTTTCATCTCCACAGTTATTGGCATTGGGAAGAGCATGACCAAAGAAAGCAATCCATGGTGCACCCTTGTTTGCGGAACGGAAATGGAAAAAACATCAGACAAGCCAACAGCATCTAGCTCTTGAAATTATTATTTAGAGAACACTTAGAGGTTGATAATAATCTCCACAGGTTTTGTTTCTTTGGTCTAAAGGAAAAATAAACCACTTGAAGATTATTATTCACAAAACTCTTAAGACCTCCTCCTTAACTCACCATATTCCATCCTTACTTAAGACCTAATTACTATGACAGAAAAAATTTATAATTTTTGTGCCAAACAATTCTATCACTGTAAAAATAATTTTTTCTAAATTATATAAGTGATGCTTTCTTATTTAGCATGTCAATTCAAGTGTGCATTGAAGAGGTAAAAATATGCTTAGATATAAGTTCTAAGTTCTCGTGCTAGTATACAAGTATCTTTGATATGCCAATAACCTTAACATTAAAAAGTTGTTATAATATTCATATTATCCATAAATTGTTTTAAAAAGAATAATTAACTATAACTTTTATCATAAAGTGATTATTTGCTATATATATTTTACTATCAAATAATGTAAAATTATAAAGAGCAAGTGAGAAAATAGAGAGAATAATACAGAAAGGAAGAGAAAATTTCATTTCATTTCATATACTCTTAATAGAAATGAGATACTTATTTATAAGCCTAAATCTATAACTGAAAATCTCATTTATTTAAATGAGAATTAAACAAAACGGTTACAAAATCGTAAGTTACAAAGAATATGAGAAGTTATGAATATAGACATTCACTCATATAATAATTCATAACATTTCCCCTTGAATGTCTATTATTTGAGAATATGTTTTATAACATCTAACTAGGAAAAACACAATGGAATAAAAACTTAGTGAAAAGAAAAATATATTATTATTTAATATGCTATTACATACTACCTCATTAAAAATCTTGTCAGAAAAACTCAATGGAAAAAACTATAGCTAAGGAAAAAATAGTGTAGAACGTATTTAATTCTTTCCCTCATGTGGACAATTATTTCTAAGACAACGAAGTTCAATCTTGTAAACTAGTTGTTCAAAAGTTTTACTTAGAAGTGATTTTGTGAAAATATCTATCAGATTCTCACATGAACGAACTTGTTGAATATTTATATCATCATTCTTTTGAAGATCATGGGTAAAAAAGAATTTTGGAGAAATATGTTTTGTTCTATCTCCTTTAATATACCATTCTTTCAATTGAGTAATACACGCAACATTATCTTTACATATAACTATTGGAGTTATTTTTTCCAAAAATAAACCACAAGTTTCTTGCACATGTTAAATCATAGATCTCAATCAGACACATTTTTGACTTGTCTCATGTAATACTAAAATTTCTACATGATTAGATGATGTAGTCATTATAGTTTGTTTCGTATTTTGCCATGAAATAGCTGTACCACCACATGTAAACAAATAACCTATATATGATCTACCATTATGTGGGTCAGACAAAAAACTCGCATCTGCATAACCAATCAACTTAGATTTAGATTTATTCGAGTAAAATAAACTTATATCCATTGTACCTTTAAGGTAATGAAATA